TTCATCCGGCACCTCAGAAATGTTGACTATGAAAGGATTGCAAATCAGTTTCCGAATACCTTTGTCCTTGCAGTCAGGAAAATAGCGATTGAATTCATTTTTCAAGCTTTGCAAATGGAATGTAATGTTCTTTTGTATTTGTCCTTTAATCTCAGCACACTGTCAATCAATAATTGGGTTCAATGTATCAAAAGCAGAAAAATTCTCTCTTTCGACTTTGCTGATCCATAGGTCGATTTTAGCAATAAACGCACTGATTTTATCTTCAAATGCAAATTTATTGCTAGTGACTTCCTGTTTCATATTTTCTGACTGTGCACCATACCCCAGCCCAGTCCGCTACCGGCTCTAATCTTGACATACTGTGCATTGTCATCAACACGTCGTCATTTATTTAATAATTTTGGGATAACTTTCGCAGACCACTTCGGATGCTTTCAGGGACCACAGGTTAAGAACCACTGGTTTAAAATAACAAAAACTAAAAATAAATATTAAATAATACAGTGGAACCTCAATATACGACCTTAATCTGTTCCTGGTGTTTTGACTTATACCGAAAGGACGTATACCAAACCAACCTTTCCCATAAGAAGTAATTAAAAATGATTAATCCGTTCTCATGTAAAGAAAAAAATGGCTGGATTTAAACACCTCACTTTCCTGGCTAGTTCCTGCTTGATTTTTCATGAGATCAGCAAGTATCATTTTAGCTTTCTCGCAAATAATTGCTTCTGATACATTCGCCAGCACACTGTTTTTCAGTTATCCAAAGCAAAAGCAATTTCTCAACATGATCTAATGTCTTCGATCTATGTTTAGAAATTGATTCAACCCCTTTCGCAACGTTAGCAAATTTAATAATGTCTTAATTTTTCACAATTGTCGATATTGTCGTTCTCGGAATACGGTATGCAACAGTTAAAATCGCGAACATGCATGCCATCTTCATATTTCTCAACAATCTCTTTTTTCAGTTCCATTGTGATTTTAGTCATTGTTTTTATTTTTCTGTTGCCTTTTTGCAATTCATGATTAATAAAAATAAAAACATTTTACTTACAAATTAAAATAAAAAGAAATTTATCAAAGTTATAAACTGTGGCACTGCGAACGTCTAGCCTGGTCTAATACACCGATAGTGCTACTTGTTTGTAGATGGCGCGTATAATTGAATTAAGTCGTATACAGAGCAAAATTTGTTTCGTCCAAACAGGACGTATTCCAAATTGGATGTATTCTAAAGCAGACGTATACCGAGGTACCACTGTATAGTGTCATGATTCTCTATGCATCATTTTTACTTTTCTAGCTATGTTATATACAACAAATGGAAAGTATGGCAATTGGTCAAAAAAAAGATCCTTCAAGATTTTTAGGTTTCTTTGGTTATGAAATCTATAATAATTTCCAAGCCATGGAAATGCCTTCTGTATCTTTATTGTTAATGAACTTGGCTATTTTGAATGTAAATTTCCAGCTGCTTGTGACTTTAATTCAAAAGGTTAAGGACCAGACAAATCAAACTAGCTATTTGTAAATCAACTTGGATCTTTGATATAGAGCAGGGCTTCTTAAACTATGGGTCGTGACCCCATTTGAGTCACTTAGCGAAATCTCGGAGGTTGCGAGATTTTGATGCAAAATATTGAAAATAATTTGTAATAGTTTGAAAATGGCATGCTTTGTGTCATAGGTTTCGTGAGTTGCACTTTGTGTCACTTTTGTTGTAGCGAGACAACAATTGTAGTGTGAACTAGTGTAGTGTTGTTGATTTTTAGTGCATTCAGTTGTCTCTGTTCCATTGTAACACAAGAGTGAATTGTGGTAGTTCACCATTACTGTTTATGCAAATTTGTATATATCTTTATTTTATATTTTTTGGGTCGTGAATAAAATCACAATCATAAATGGGGTCATGAATGAAAAAGTTTAAGAAGCCCTGATATAGAGGAAATCCAAATTGATTAATAAGTGGCTAGTTTGATTTGCCCAGCCTGTAATCTCTCTGAATTAATCTCTGTAGTCTCAAGCAACTAGAAATAGAAGTCACTTGTAATGTCACTCTTTATTAGCTATGTGTCAGGTATTATTTTATATGGAGAATTTTAAAATCACCTTTTATTTAATTATTCAAGTAACATGAGCTCAGAAAAACATTCAATTTGATTCAATTTAATGCTTTAAATATTAAAACAAAATCATTTTCATGACATTTAGCACTAATTTTGTGTTTAAAATAATTTATAATAATCAACACAAACATTTTGTTATTTCATTATTATAACATATGTTATTGTAGAAGAAGAGTAACAACTTCAAAATAACAACAAAAAGATCTTTATTTGGAAAGAATGAAACAGATTTTAAAAAACTCATACTTTTCAAGTTGAAATAGTAAACATGAATTAACTAAGAAGTCAATATGTAGGAGAGGATGGAGTAATAAGAAGAAAGGGTAATAAGGTACAGGAAAAAAAAATTCATAAGGTACTAGAAACCTGTAAAAATCGCTTTAAAGATAATTTCTATAATTCTTTTTTTTGGTAAGATATGTTTATTAAAAACATTATCAACAAGAACTGTAGCTTTTTTTGCAAACATTTTTATCCAAACTTTGGTAAGAACTTTTTCTTGTTATTTTTTATCTGATCTTATTGGCAATTAAAAGGGCTTTCAAAGAAAATTTTTATCTCTCTCATAAACAGAGGATCTAGAATTGATAGGCAATGGACTTTTGATTTTTAAAAAATCCGATTTTTGTCAAAATTAAGTGTGTGTATTCTGCAAAGAAAACAGAACTTTCTAAGGAAAAAATACCCTCAATTATTTTGCCCTGTATTTGATAGAAAAACAAAAGAAAATTATTTTTTTAAAAAGATCCTCAAGTGAAAGATCATTCAGAGAAAAAAAAAATCAGGGCTACAAGCTTAAAACTGTCTGGTATACTAATTTTGTGTTTCTTATTACTCTATTGCACATATTATTATCCATCCTTCTTATACCTTATTAATAAAATGTCTTAATGACAGCTTAATATAATTTTATTTTACAAATAAATTGAATATGTGATAAATACATTTTTGTTTACATAAAGAATGAATAAGATTCTAGTTTACAGTCAGGGCCAGACTTGCACTTAAGATAAACAAGCTGCAGCTTAGGGCATTACATTATAATTCTATAGCTTAGCTTACATATGCCATTATTTGGCATAGATGAAGGGCCTGTTATGTTATCAGGAGTCACAGCAGTAATGCCCCACCAAGTAAAAAAAGTCACTGACTGACTACATAAAGGAATCAGCATTGCCAATTTTTGGGGGTCAATTTCTCCACCACGAAATACCTGAAGTAATTCCAATTATTTGAAATAAAACTGTTTTCTTAGGTAGTGTGCAAAAATTTCAAGATTTTCTATAATGCAGTTGCTGAAATATAAGCAATTGAAAAGTGCAAAAACTGCCCAAAAAAAGCTGTATTTTTTTCTCCATTTTCTTCATCCAACACTACAGACACTCAGAGATAAAACTACTGGGTCTAGAAAACTGAAATTTTAAATTTAAGTCTTTCTTGTTATCAGTGAGGTGCCTATGAACCTTCCAAGACAATAGGTCAAAATTCATGGAGGTTCTCATAGAGCTAATTCAGTTTTATGGGTTAATTTTATGCTTACAAAGATAAAATTGCATGGAAACAAATGAATTTTTATTCAAAATGTTACTCAGAATTACAAAACCTCAAATTTATGCCAATTAAAACTTTTTATAACAATTTTTCTAAATGGTATATCAAAACATCAATCAGCAGCATGTTCAATTGGTGTGGTGATGTGTTTGGTCGATGCTGACTAAAATGAATATTGAAAATGTTCAGTTGTCGGTATATTTAGTCGCAGAGTGCTGACCAAACTGTACATTATCTTATATACAATTGATACATAATAATACAATTGATATAAAAAAAACATCCAAGATGTAAAAAAAATTACACTAATTAAAAATTTATGACAATTTAGATGATGGTCAAAATTTTTCTTAGGAGTTTTTCTATGGTAAAGATAAGCTTGGCACTTGGAAGCTGCATCCACAAGATTTTTACCTATTGTATTTTACGTTTCACCTCCATATGGAGGTGAAATGTAAAATACAATACAGTCTGGTGGCAACATTATCCATATGGATAGTGTTGCCACCCACCAGACTGGTTTTCACCCAGACAAGCCAGTTTTTAAATTCATGGTCCGGATTGATTATTAATTTGTCCAGTTTTCTTAGAAATTGTGAAATTATGATAAAAAAATTAATTTATAAAAATATTTGTGAGTATCTTACTTTAACAGTTAATTGAACACTTTAACTTCACAACCCCACCCAAAGTTATCCTCATCTTATCCCTAGGCTAAAACTGACAAAAAATGTACTTTTAAAATTCTAACTTGCAAATATCAGATCTGTTCCAACACAAGTCCCTAACTGGTTTAAAACTGGCATGCACTTTATTCAGTTCTTGGCTGTAAAATGACAATGTGCATGCCTTGTACAGTTTCAAATTCAAACCAGTCATAGGTGTTGGAACAAATCTATTGTCCAGATCAGCAATTTTGAAAAGGTGGCAACAATGCATGTAGAAAATAACACACGTAAAACCTTGTGGGTACTGCTTCCAAGCACCAAACTTTACAAAAAAAACTGCTAAGAAAAATTTTGACTGTCATCTAAATTGTCATAAATATTTAATTGGTGTAATTTTTTTACATCTCAGATGCCAAGTCCAGTCTCGTGTATAGTGACCAGGAGTGCCTATCCCCCTGTATGTCAAAAAAACATCAAAAGGAGCACGATCTAAAACATGACACTTTACGAAACATTTAGTAATTATTATATGGAAAAAATTTTAAATTATGTAACTTGCCGTATTAGACAATATTAAAAGCTACCATTATCATTAGTATCATTTCTGCAAATAATGTTACTGGAATTTATTAACAGAAAACTTTACCTGCAATCATTTTGAGCCTTTTTGCTTAGAGTGTTAATAGAACCTGTAATCAACATTCCAATACATAAAAGTAACTGTTTAAGAGTCAAAGCCATTTCGAAAAACTATTTCCAAAAACCTAGACGTGCCATTCAAACACAAACAACAATCATATGATTGAAAGTTGCCAACTGGACGAATCGATGTCACTGCCTCCTTTCCCGTATTTATTTACAATTTTCAAAGAAAGAAGAAATAAATATATTTATATTTTTATAATAATTTTATTGTAAAAAGTTTTGAAAATAAAAACGATTTAACTAATAATTATGAATTTATTTTTTGATTTAGTCAATTTAAATAAACGAAAAGTATTCATTGTCTCCTCATAGTGCTGATTAAGTGATAATGAAATAAAGACGTAATTAAAATTTTAATTGTAAAAAATGAAGATATTTCTATTCCGAAATTGAATTCTAAAGATAATTCTTTTCTTTGACTATCGCTACGTATTGGCCGGATGGCCGAGCAGTCACCGGTGGCAGCCCGGAATCGAATCCGGTCGACCACCCCCGAAAAATTCCTAGGGATTTTTCGGGGGTGGTCGACCGGATACGTGGGGACCCGTCCTTTACGGGTGGTAAAGGACGGCTTTTCCATTGTGGACCTGGCCGAACCCATAATGGGCTTGCTAAAAAGAGGTCAGCTTAATACCCACAGGGAGGGCAGAGTAAAAAACAAAACTATCTACGTATCGGTTTAAAACTTTTCTTATTTGTGCAAGTACTGTATAACTTGTTTCCAAAGAGATTTTTCTTCAAAACCATTGATCTGCTTTTTCTTTTATCGATTCTAATGTTCAATTCAGGTCACCCATTGTCATTCTTCTATATTTAAATTTCTCTTAATCTTGATGATGCTCTGAAGCAAGTAAGATATTCTTATTGGAATATCTTACTACGTCAACATTTTATAATGCATATTTTACGATGAAATAAAAATTTCTTAAAATTATGTGATTATTCTGTCATTCTATTTTTTCTACTCTAATCCTGTGGCTGCTAGAAAACGAATCGTGCTCGGACTGTATTTAAACATTTATCGTTGGGACGTGGAGGCTGATTTTGCCTAATTATACCTATGGCTGATACCGATAGTCCGTGCAAAATGCTGGTCGAAAATGTTGGCTATGAGAATAACGGCTGTCTTAACCATTCTCTCCATCTCTCGTGCTCTTCCAAAAAATCTGTTCTGCGCTTCTTTAAACTGATGTATTTCTCTTAATTACTAAAAATATACACAGTATATTGTTTTTGTTTTGGTGGCGTGACTTTGCAGACTTTTTCGCGGAATTTGCCGGCATTGACTCCGCCAGCTTCGCCCCCGATCGTGCTTTCATCTGTAAAGAATTATCGCAGATTAATTAATATGTCTCGACCGAATCTAATTCCTTCTTTTTCTACATACTTTCCTCGTTACCACAAAATGCAATTAATATGATTAAAAAAATACATCAACTTATCACAGTTTTTTGAACTAACAACCAGATATAAACGTATTAGTCTATCATTTTTAAAAAACAGATTCCGTTTTGAAAATTAGATCATGTGGCCACATGTAGTGTTTGTCCTGCGAACGCTTTCGAAATACTGAAAGCATTTGTTCGTTTTACAACTTTTGTAGAACTATTTTAGCGCAGAAACATCAAATAATTCAAATTTTTCTAGATTCAATAATGACGGTATCGTTATTGATTTTTTTTTTCTAAAATAGATTCTTTTAGTTTCTAGTACTTATCATAAATTCTTATATAAGAATTAATTTATGGAAATTTGTTGTTCTATATGAATTTTGTATATTGTTATGCAATATAATTTACTTAACTAATAATACTGCTAATAATACATTTAAAATTATCAAATAACTGCGTTGAAATTTTACTGAACAGACCCTAGACTTGCAGAAACATCCTTTCATTTATAAGTTTAGACAAGGTTTACTGAAAACTTTCTTGTCCACACTTTAAAAGTTTGTCCAAGTCTGCTTAGTAAAACTGTAATGCAGTAATTGAGCAATTATAAAATAAAATTAAACTGCGTGGTTCCAACAAGATCAATAGTAATAACATTAAAAAAATTTTTTTTCGCTTTTAATAAGTAAAATTTTTCACTGTATTTATCATTATTATTATTATTATTTTTAATGGTGTTTCGAGCTGTGTTCGGCAACGTAGAATGCTATGAATTGTTCTGAACTCTCTAGTTTGTGGTTCTGGATATCTTCGAAATGTATCCCGAATCAGACAGTCGTGTTTAAAATGATGGAAGTAAAAACGATCTTATAGTGGAAACATTCATATTGATATCATTTTCCTTCTGTCTTTGAATCTTTATCGTTAATATAGAGTCAAATCCTATTTCTTCAAAAATATCTTTATTTTCTGATTAAGAACTCCTCCTTTTGCAAATAACCAGTACAACAAGTGTAATAGTCCTAATAATACGATACGTCCCAGTTGACAATAATATAAGTAAGATATAAGGACAGAAAGGCAATTAAATTAACCTATTTCTTCTTGTCTCACTATTTACGTCTCTTTCTTTTTCCTCCTTCCTTCTAAATAAAATGGAGTCACGAGTAATTTATTAAATGCATGTTTGAAAACTCATCATTTACTCTGATCCCATTAAATGCTAGATTCAACACATATTTGCCCTCTTTTGCTTTTGATAATATTCTGATAATTATTTAAAATGTTTTTTCCTGTAATCCTGTGGGTACAGGTGTTTAATGGGTCTTTGGATGAATCAGCAGTCCACAATTTTAGAATGTAACCTTTCTTTTCTCTGATTATGTTAATAAATTCACGCAATCATTGAAAATAAAGGTTAAATTATGGACTGTTGATTCCCCAAAGAGCCATTAATTAAACATCTGTACCCACAGGATTATGGAAAAAAAACATTTCAACATATTTACCTTATTATAGATATATCCAACCATTGGTGCAGTAGGAAACAAATCACTAAAAACAATGATAAAAACATTCACTAATAGCAGTTACATAATATTCCTTAAATAACTAAAGTATTGGAGTATAGGGTTTTAGTAGTGACAACTTATCAAACAATTCAACTAGACAGTCTAATGATAAAAACAATTGAAAATATAATAGCTTTTCTTAAATTTGGCAAAATAAATATAATAAATTTAAAGAAATTCTTTTACTGGTTTAAATAAATGAAAAAATGTAGTATAGACCTACTATATATACTGTATATGCTATATTTAAATTTTAGATAATTTTAAAAATTAGATGGCATTGTTTTCAAATTTCATTGATGCTGAAATATCAAGTATAATGCATCCTATATTTTTTCCTTTTCTGTAAATTACTATGAAATCTAAAAAAATAGTAAATAAGTTCAACTTTGCTGTAACTGTTTGATTTAAATATCAAATATAATTCTAAAACAAGAGGAATCATTAACTAAAAAGGAAATAAAAGGTATAACCATCATAGCATTATCAATTTGTTATTGAATAGTCGAAGTACAGTTAATAAATATAATTTAACTGTACTTTAAAAGTACAGTTAAATTATATTTATTAAATAGAGTTTCAAGTTCTTCATTGCAGTAATCATTTCTATGCCATTCAAAAACTATAACTTTGTTCTTGTTGAAACAATAAGTAAATTACACACACAATTATTGACTACAAATAAAACTATCACAATCAATAAAATTAACAAGATTTGACAAATTATTCCTTCTGTTATGCAAAAGATTTTTGTGATTAGATTATTTAGCAATTAGTTTCTTGCAAATGCATGCATTTGCAAGAAACTAATTGCTAAATAATCTTAAAAGTTAAAATATTTGCTGAACTGTGATTATTACCATATATACATTTTTTCTCAATAGTATATTATTTACAAAGCATCAGTATGAAAGTGTAGTATTGACTAAGGATACAGTACAATACATATTTAGATATTATTTATCGTTAAGTTAGTTTTCATTAAAAAAAAAAAAAAACGATATCTTGTACAAAATAAAGCTAAATTTGTATTGTGAAAAACGCAAAACGAATATAGTTTAGCAATTTAAATCGACTAAAATAGTTTCTTTGGATAAACGTGCTTTGTTTCCGTATTTGATAATCACGTAAAACGAAAGAGTCCATTATAAAACTTTTCGTATTCTTTAATATAGATACTAATAATAGAAGAAAAGTTGTATCTACATTTTAGGCAACAATCAGATTAGATTTGAACTATACAATTATCTTGATCTATGGAATACCGTGAATTCAATGATGACCGTGAGCAGAATCATCACCTTTCCACTTATTATAAGCAGTTTCTGCAGCAAGTGACAACAAGAAAGCTAAAGTTCCCCATTTAGCTCCTCGGAAGTAAAACTTAATTCCTCTCTGTCGCATAGTAAGGAATCCAGGATGGTATCTCCATACTTCGTTCCGCAACCACGGATCTTTTAATCCTATACTGTGCAGAGCTTTCTTCACTTGAAGTAATTCTGGTACATCTTCCACTTTGTAGATTCTCCAATCGGGAATTTCATACGGTTTTCCTCCGTGGCCTCCACCCATTGCAACTTTCGTTACCTTTCTAAGATACGGCGGCCATTAAATTATAAATATACATTTGAGCGGTAGAGGGCGCCTCTCTGTTCTTTCTTTATTCGATTAAAAATTAACAAATTCTTCCGTAAAAAGATAAATAGAAAAGAAATCATAATTTAAATACGATATACTTTTAATATGTATAGAAAAATATAATAAATTTCAAAAATAGAATAAGAATATCGAAACACATTATTAAATTTAAATTAAAAATTATTAGACGGTTTTTCATGTTTTCTTATTACAATAAACATTTTGATTCATTTCGTGTAAGACATCCGAATTGTGTTTTTTGGTTCCTAAAGTGTTCAGATATATACACATTTAACTCTTTCTATCATCTATGGGCACTAAGAAGGCCTTTGCCTTTTTCATAGTAAGCCCATTATGGATTCGGAAAAGTCCGTTATGGGGCAATCGGTTTTTTTCTTTTAACTCTTTCCGCCTAGTGGGCACTAAGAGGGCCTCTTTTTGCAAGCCATTGTGGGTTCGACCAGGCCCACAATGGGGCTGCCGGGTGGTGAGGGACGGGGCCCGACATATCCGAACGGAAAATCCTCTGAGGCATTATTAAGCCAGTGGAGTATTTAATAACATGAAAATAAGTTAGAGTATAGTTTTCTTACTCGTAATGGAACGAACGTATTTCTCGTAATGGTATATACGAGAAATAGGCAATTTCATTTTTCATGGATAAAGTTTTATAGTTTTATAAAAGGAAAATGGGACCTAAGTTAAAATAGTTTATTGGATATATAACAGCTTTTTAAAATAATGTGTTATTAAAATATATTCAAAATACACTTATCTCATAAGGCAACAATACATTCTATAGCAATAGATTCTTTATTCTTTCAAAAATAATTTACGAGTTTTCGTCAAGTTTTTCAAAATTAATTTTTTCACTTAGGCACTTTTCTCCTCCAACACCTGAATTGATATTTTACAATTACGCGTTTTAGATAATACACATAACGATAAGAATTCTTTCGATAAGAATTCACGTTCTTTCTTATATTAATCTAACCCACATCTTTTCTCGTATTATTTTCTTATATAATTTATATATAAATTCAATTTTAAATAAGTTAAATTTACTAGTTTATAAACCAAAAATTCACGAACAAGTTAATCAATTTTCGTTTTTCATTGTTAAGTTTGATTATACTAATGTACAAAATTTTTGAAGTTTTTAGTAATAGATGAAGTATTCTAGTTATATTAATTTAACATGCTGATTCCAAAAATATACTTAGTTTTTTTACAACACATACGACTTTCAAGTTACCATTACCTAATTATAACACGAGAAGCTACACATAAATAAAATTAAGTGCAGCAAAGAAGTCAGAAATAATAATACCCTAATAATAGTTTATTAACTCAGACACATTGTCTCCTGATATTTCAACGGTCAGTTACATTTCAAATTAATTCCTGCGCGAGAGACGCAAGGCTTCTATTTACTGCTTTCTTTCATTACCCTTTTAAAAACTCGACGAGGACTTTATCTTTTTTAGTTTCAGGTTTTCTTCAAATTTTGTTTTCGCTATTAGAAAAATCTACAATGTTTTAGTAAAAAACTCTATACACATTTCACACAAAGGCCATCATGTGGAAAATTAGCTCCATTTATTGGCGTCTGTTAACAAATTAGCAAAAAGTCACAATGATATGTATTGCTTCTTTCATGAAAGTCCTTTTTTATATAAAACGCACTCAAGAACATAGAAAAATGAATAAAGCAATAAGGGATCTATGTAACCTTAGGTATCTTATTCCACCGAATGCCTCAATTATAAATTTATAGACCTAAAGGAAAGTAGTAAAAACAAATAATTTCTGATGATATAGGAAATACAGCATACGATATACGGAAATAATTGAACGAGAAATGAATTCTATACATTGATTTCAAACGTTCTCGAATACAGGAAATATTGGTGCCAATTATTATAAATAATTTTCCTAATAAAGCGCTCATATAAATTTTTAATGTGAAATTTTTTAAATTTAATTATTTCTATGACTGTTTTAATAAGTGTTACTGTATAAACTGTATAAATATTATAAAAAATCATTATTTGAAAAGCTAATGCATTATTAGCAAAAATCATATGTGTTTGTGTCGTCGATCTACGTCAACGTTTCCTATTGATTCGAATAAATTTATTACTAAAAATTTTTACATCGATACAAAGGAATTTCGTTTTTGTTACTTCTGCTTACATTTTATTAAGATTGTATATGAAGTGTTGAATAGGGTTGAAAAGTAATTCTCGAAATCTAGACTTAACCCGGATTTGAATATTACAGTAGTTTTGGAACCGGAAATCGATTGTCAAACCCGGTTCTACCAAAAGGTATAGTTAAGATCAATTTTTGCTGTTCTTAGTTATTCCTTAAAAAGAAAAATAATATAAAATATAAGCTGATTATATATTTAATATTTTTTATATTTTATTTCAAAGAAAATAAATAGTAAAATTCTTCTTTTAAAATCAAACAATTTCCATTTTATTAAAAGGCCACTAATTTTGTTTCGGCTTATATATAGTCTAATTATTCTTTAACTTCTTATTTTAATAAATTTTTAAATTTCTTTTGTTGATTCTAAATAGATTTTTATTTTTATTTCATTTTTAAACGAAATTTAACTGTACATAATCAAGTATAAAATAAAAATTCCAAGATAATTGTGAATTTAAATTTATCCTTCCTCATACTTTTACAAGTAAATAAAATTATTCTTTCTATTAATGAGTTATGTTGCCTATTTAATTAATTATGTAGAAAAAGTGTAGTTATTTTTTCGCTATGAAAATCGGTTTTACTCGGGATTCGGACCAAGATGCGGTTCCGTAACCGGTTTTGTAGTTTTCGGATTTTCCACAACTTTAGAGTTCAATTTAACAATTATCCAAGTACATAAGAGATCTTTTCCACATTGCACTTGTATACATTGTATACTTAATGGTACAGAACATTAGTTCCACTGTAACGTTTGCAGCAAAGTAAATTAACTCATTAAAAAAAAAAGACGCGTGTAAATCACACAGTGGCTCCGGACAAATACGTAAATTTTCCAAACATAAGAACAAGATGCAAATTAAAAATGTCAACTTGACAAATTAACTGGAGACACGCGACGCCAACCTCCACATAAAAGAGTTAACATCGGTCTGTGATTTGGTAGAGCACCTTCACATACCTGAATATTACTGTGAAATAATTAAACTTTATAGAGAAAATAGACAAAATGCACGAGAAAGGGCACTTAGATTCCATTAAGGTCTTGGTGGATGAGCGCTTTCTAGCTGCACCATATGTATACGACCATTTTGACATAATGTTGCTTGATGCAAATCCGTAGCATAGACAAGGGTGAACAGGATCGAGATCCGGTTCACCCTTGTCTTCATTTTTGGTACATTTCCATACATATCAACATACGGGCATACGCGAAGCAGCGACGCAATAAGGACTATAGCAGTCATAAATACATTAAATTTTAGATTTCCACGACATGCATCGATTCAACTGCTATCTGAAACGTGCAGGGAATAATGTGCAGAGATTTGACAGGTGAAATACGATGTTAAATTTAAGTCAGGAAAAATCAAACCTGCTCGAGCACATTTTACGGACTGACAAATTTTCCCAGAATAGAGTATGTAACTGCCGTAATATTCATCACGCGGCACAACAAGCTTTACAATATGCACGTTATTCTAAATCGTTATAAAATGATTTCCTACCGTTATCTTTGTGCTCGAGAAAGGTGAGACAATTTAGCTATTGTTTTGGTTTACAGATGTTTCTGTTTTGAATGAATTAATTTATTTTGCTCTAAACATTGCGGTGTAACTAATGCACCACACGCATATATTCGTGCAATGTAGCAAAGATATTTTTTGCACCCGGATAAATGTTAAAGTGAACACTCTGTGCAGTTTACAGCATGGTCGTCCGCAGAGAGGACCTTACCTTTCCCACCCCCAAGATCGAGTAAAAAATTCCACAAATTATAATTGTAAAAGTAATTGAGATAGGCTATGTATGTAACCTTACACCCTCACCATAGAATGCTTTGTCTGTCTTTTTGTATTGATGCAATATTGTATTTTATAATCTACTTATGAGAAAAACCCCAAAATTAAATAAAAATTTATTGATGTAATTATTTGTCTTCAAACTTTGCTCTTCCTGGAAAATTTTCTGCGGACATCCATGGTTTATACGTACAACATTATCTTAACACTTATCTTGTCGCACCACATTAATCGAGAGTATAATTTAATAGCCGTTGCTAATAAGTATGCAATTATTGTTCTTTTTATACGTACCATTACTGGAATACAAAAATCACTAATGATTAGGAAGCATAATTTATTAAATTAAAATCTATTAACACAATGCTTGCAAAAATATTATCACTGTAGATAAATTTGGGAATTGTGTTTGATTATATTTCTGTTCAAATCACAATAGCACATTAAGCAATCAATCTCACGATTTTTTTTTTTCAATTTTCTCAAGGTACGAGTGTTAGATGCACGTATACAATATTAAAACTTTTAGTTTTTGTCCAAGCTTTTATTTTATCGAATATAGAACATAAAATGGAAAAACAAAAAAATTATTTTACAATATCGTGACATACTTAAATATCATATTATAAACAGACCGTGATGTTCCTTTCATGATAACACATTATACAATAAAAGGTGGTTGTAGAAAATTTTAAGATCCATCGGAAATGTCGCTCACTATAAATTATACTAAAGCATTTACTATATAGTGCTCGATTTAAATTATTGCATTTGGGAAGGCTTCTAAATTATTAAACACTCGCAATTTAGCGCTATTTGGAGTTATACGTCGCCTTTGATGTAGTTCTAAAGTGAGGTATATTTCCGATGATCCGCAGAATAAAACAAATTACATTATGACATAAATCAAATAAACCAAAGACATTCGAACGAATAATTTACAAAAAAGTCATGTTATTAAAATAGTGAAATGACAACAAATAATTTTTACAATGGAGGAATCGAGGCGTGAATTATATTATGAAAGACCGATACGAATTCGGAGCATTTAAAACAGAAAATAAAGTGATATTCTCATGAGGATACGACGAAAGGTTTTTCGATTCGATTCTCGTCCTTCCGATGATCTATAGGTTTCACACTGGGCCCATTTTTGTCAGCTAGACATCTTTTCAAACAATTTCATTTTTCGACACCGGATGGCGTCACTGCATCTTTCGGGTAAAGATCTCTGGTAATTAAATTGCTCGAAGATTTACGAATGAAAAATATAAATAATTCGAACGATGGCATTTTTAATCGAAGAAAAAAGATGTAATCTATTTTTTGGGAATTCGCCACTTTTCGACGGCGAGAAAATTCGAGGTTGGTCGGCGTGACGAGACAATAGGCATTATTTGTGGTGGATATGGGTGATACTTGGTGGTTAAATCAGTAGCCTGGACGCCAAGTTCTCGGTGATATCTTTTCTTGTAAAAATTCGCAAATGGACACATTCGTAGTAAAGTCTCAAACCTGAGCGGCAACTATACACTCTTGAAGGTCCTTCGATGCTGTAATAATAAACAAAATGAATTATTTTTAATACATTAAAAATAAATTTATGTAAATAAATCGACGAAATCTGAATAATAATCTTTGTTTAATGTTTCGTAATTTCGGAACTTTTTGATAGCAATGTTTAATAAACGATGAAATGAAGATTTGAAAATACCACACACATTTAGAGTATCGCCCGATTTAATTGAATAATCTTCATTTCCTTGCAAACCGAAGATTTATAGCAGAATTACATTTTAATTCTAAACCAACTACAAGTACTGACACGGTTTCGCATATTTATATGAAGCCGGTCAAACTTCTTTCCAAATGACATTGGCAACTCGATAGTAACTTATATGTGAGAATAAGCTTAAATCCAGTTTGGAAAGCGCAGCTACTACAGTATACAATATAAAAACTGGCTTCTATTGTGCCAACGAGATTACTTCTGCTCCAAACACGCTCAAAATATCGACAAATTGAATGCTTACAGTCGCCAAAACATAAAAATATCTACCTGTGTCTACATATTTTTATAACAATAGATTAATATGATAACATAAATTGATATATTTAAATAAGTTCTTTCAATATTTAAGATTTTTTTTATGAAGACTATCAAAATATAAAATTTTAAAACAATAATTTTGTGTAGATTTTAAAACTGTCTAATTCATATAATTTTATACATTAAATAATTAAAATTAATAAAATGATTTTTAATTAATATAAATATAATAAACTATTGAATAGAAAGTATTGATGAAATTTAGATAGGAAAGTTTTGCATAGAAAAAAACCAGAATTGTTATTTTAATAATGTATGAATTAATATCGATGAAATAATTTCGTATATTGAATTTATGAAATTTTTTAATCAAAATTATCTGTAATAATATTCAATTTTATTATTTTCTATTTTCCATTCTTACTATCAAAAGAATATGAACTTTAAAGCTAGCATAACGTCAAACTGCTGCTACTACCTTATATATTTCTCAAGTTTTAATAAAGATAGATTTGTAATAAATCGGTATAAATTTGATTATATTAAATGCTCTAATCGTATTGTTTTAATACATTTTTTTTTTTTTTTTACAAATTAAGTTTAAAGTCTAAAGGAAATTTAAGAACGGAAATAAGTTAATTTTTTAATTCTGATTAAAGTTAAATCATTTTAAATGTGAAATCACTAATCTCGTAGCAATTTCGAGTCCAATAAAAGAGAAATAAAAATTAGAAAGAAACGGTCTCGGCCAGAAGACGAACTAAGAAATTTCAAGAGTAAGTACACCTATAATTTACTTCAAGCTACCTACTATCAATATTTGATGTAGGCTATATATTCACATCGACTAATATTACATTATCAATGATTATCTGATGTTTTATTATAACATTTACATTACATTTTGTAGCTATCAAGCAGAGAATTTAACAGTAGCGAACACTTCAAAATAAAATGTTTTTTACTTGTCATATATAAAAATATAGATCACATGAATCACATGGATTTGATGTAGCCTAAATATTAGTAATTGTTCTAACATTGTAGGCCAATAAAGCTTGTTTTTTCTGTTTTTTTAGAAAGTCCAGGATACTTTACCTAACACACAAAACATAGGATAAAAATTCAGCAACGAATTGCTTAACTTTCCGGACATTTGAAACTGTGTGTGGCGCCATCTGTTGTGATATTTTATTTAAAAACTTTTTATATAATTAATTATTAAAAAATAGCAAAAACACTTAATTTTTAGGGTAGGGAAGAGTTTTATAAAAAATTGTAAATGCTAATAACAAGTGAAATCTTCATTAAGTCCGACCTTACACAAGATATGGCACACCACCCTCAATATCGCCCCATTCCCTCGACCTTTAATTAATATTTAATAGCATCAATCCCGTAACATACAAACCTCCATGCAAAATTTCATAAATTTTCGACAAAAAGCACGGCAGTCTTTAGCTTCAATGTGGATGAACAAAGTCTTGCCCCCTACACACACACACACACACACACACACACACACACACTAACATTTATACAGAAAAAACCCCGAATGTTTTACATTTCTCGACGTTTCAAGGTCCCGAGTCCAAAAATATAACAATCTTGAGGGGTCGTTGACCATCGCCATACTTTTCCTCTGTTATATATAACAGAGCAAGTAAAAAATTAAATAAATCGTTTATTCATATCTTAAACATTACGAAGTATTCTTACAGATTAAGATATGGTGATAATTTTCAAGTTACCCTTATTCGATATCGGATAATAAGATAATAAGAGATTATAAAATGTAACAGACAATCAATCAAGAAACAATAGTAATTACTCGTTAATAAATTTATTTTAATATAACTACAGAATTTAAATTAAGTAATTATTATTTTATTTATTGAACTAAAGCTTTTTTCTTTTAGAGAATAACCTGTATATTGACAAACTTTAAATTCCTTTTCCATAGTACAGTAGACCTATATACTAATTTTGTTTTTGTTTTGATTTTGTTTTTCCAATGTGCATTTTTGTGAAATTTTGAAACCATAATAATGTATAATTATAAATTGATTGGTGTGTAAGTCGAAATTAATGAATTATTCTTATAACTTTAGTAGATTTTACCATCGTATTATTATCTTGAGAGAGTACATCTCCGAGAATAGAGATAGGATGAATCAAATCCCAGAATATTTCTGATCTCATAGTCTGTTAACTACTTGTTTATAAATAATATCACTTAAAACAAATGTAATCGTTTAGGAATCTTTCGGATTGATTTAATAGCTTTATTACTAATACGAATTATAATTCCAATTATTAATAATACTTACACTTTATTTACTAATTATATAAATTTAATTACTATAATTACGTATCTTAGTTAAATAAATTTCAATATTAAAATACTTAGTTTTAGTCTATTAGTCTATTGTGACTATACTGTTATCTATTAATAGGACTTATTGTACTGATTTAACTTGAAGATGAAATTAGAGAGACTGAATCAATCTCTTGGTTTAAAAGAATAAACTTTTACAGTAATACCCCGAACTTACGCGATAGGTGGGACCGAGCGATAACCACGTAAGTCGAATTCACATAAGTCGGGGTATAATTTCGCAATTTGTGTAAAATCCAAGTCAGATGTATGTAAGCTAATAAATGCTCTCGTTAATCTTATCTCTTCTTTTGATTCGTTTACTGTTATAAGAAATCACCACATAGAGTCTCTCAAGTCTCCTTAGATATAACAAACACAGAAATAAATAACACAAAAAAAAATTGTAGCTATGCGTCGATTCCACGCGACACGTCCGAACACGTAAGCTGAACAATAGTATGGGGGGAGTGAGTAATCAAGAGTTACGTGGCGCTCAAACAAAAGACGAATCGACAAGATTTGAAAATCGCGTAACTCCGGATTCGCGTAAGTCGGGGTAGCGTAAGTCGAGGTATCACTGTATTTGCCAAGTGCAAATATCAATAAAAGTTTATTCTCTTGATTCAATCTTTCTAATTTCATCCGCAAGTTAAATCAGTATAATAAGTTATATTAATAGATTATAGTCACAGTAGACTAATACTAATAAAATAACATTTAAAGGACTAAGAAGTATTAATTAATTAAAATACATATGTTTAAAAGGTTAGTTTATATTTTCCTAATTTATAATTATATTATAGATATTAAAATTCGACTTTTTCTTTCGGGATTCTTCTAGTGGTAAGCTAAATTGATAATAGTAGGAATAGAGTCGAAATTGTAATATGTATTTTATAATTACATTCAAAACAGTTCTGTTCTTATAGGTTAATTAATATGAATATTTATTTGCTCATTTTGAATAAAAATAGTTCCTCTCAATATTGCTCATAAAATAAATTATATATATAGTTTTTGTCAGATTTTTATCATTTATGAATGATTTTTTTAGTATTTTTTCGAATTTCTGTATGTGTTTTATTACAATAGATGGATTATCTTCAATTGTTACGATCAATAAATCAATGAAATATAGGTTTCTTCTTTCAAGTTTCATTATGTCTTCTCTACTTACATCTTTCGATTCTCCTAAATCAATTTTTTGTTACACTAATAAAAATTCAACTTTGATTAATATCTATTTAAAAACAAATAATGTTAATAAAATTATATGATATCGATTATAGTAAATAAAAATCATTGTACTCGTATATGAATTTAATTAATTAAATTAGTGGCCTTTATTTTTAATAAAAATGGTCATAAACCTATTATGAGAAAAATAATTTTCATAAACGAAATTCTTTTACCATTATATTAAAATATTGTTTAATTACGGTTTACAGTTGAAACCGCATCAAGTTTTCTTAGAAAAAAGCCATGGCAATATTAAAACTGAGTTTATTTTTGAATATTTAACATTAAAATTAACGTTTTTATATATTCTTAAAGTAGATGTCTATAAAATATACCAATAACGTTGGAGCCAGAGAGACAATAAGTAACAAAACATACGGTGTAAAATGAAATATAAAGTTATATAAGAATCAATGTCGAGTTAAATTCTTTCCATACTAAATGAATTTAGCATTTATGAGGAACATTAGCGATTACTTATGTCAGCATCAATCGGGTGCATTTTATTTCATTCCAGACTTACGAATAATACTCGATATGCACAGTTAATACATTCCAGTTGAATTTGGGACTATACATAAGTTTCTAATATAAAAATTTGGGATATAAGTGTAAGAATGAAATTTTCATTCCTACATTTATATAGGCCTATATCCCGATGATCTTAGCAACAAATTCTTAAAAAAATCAAAAATAATTTAAATTATCAAATAAAAGTAGGATATAGTGAGTTTTGGATTGCGTGCTTCACGACGTACTTGAAGTTGGGTAAAGGAATAATGTCTATCTTCAAAATTATCATTTTTTTTAAAATGAAATTTTACAATAAGAAACTACAAATACATATAGGCGTACAAATATAACTCATATTAATTTTATTAGTT